GAATCTGACTGACACACTATATTTCCCAGCACTAGGTGCCATCCTTGCTGTACCCAGAGATCTTATCTTCCCCACATAAGGCAAGGCCCAGAAGGGAAGAAAGGGGCCCAACCTAGCAGGGGTTGTGTGCTCAGGACAGGCCAAACCTGAGTGTCAAAGCAAGCTCCAAGTGACACTGGCTGGCTCTGACCTCCCCAGCTATAACTTTCCTCAAGGAATAAAGGCCTGCACACCCCCATTTTTTGGGCCTACAAAGACATATGCTTTGACAAAGGAACAAACAGCTTTACAGAGGCATAATTGAGGTACCCTAAAATTTTCTGATCATAGTGTACAATTCAATCATTTTAATTAGATTTAACAGATAAATAAAGTTGTGTGATTATCACTACAATAGTTTTAGAGCATTCTGCTCACTGTCAAAAAGCTTTCTCTTACTCATTTATAGTTAATCCTCACTCCCACACGCAAGCAAACACTAATTTACTTTCTGTCTCTATCAATTTACTTTCTCCAGGCATTTCATTAAACAGAATCATATAATATATGATTTTTGCAACTGGCTTCTCTCACTCAGTTGTATTTTGAGACTGGTGTATATTGCACTGTTTCATTACTAAGTATGCAGTAATTCGGACACTGTATGCACCATGGTCATGTTTAGATCGCTTCAGTGTCTCCCTACTAGGAAATAAGTGGCTATGAACATGAAGGTCACTGTGTGGCCATCAAAGTTCAGTTCCCTGGGTTCATTCCCACACGGAGAACTGCGGGGCCCCAAGGTAAGTTTAGTGTCTTAAGAAACTAACAACTTGCTTTCCCAAGGGGCTACACCACTTCACAATCCCACCAGCAATGCACAAGGATCTACGGTCTCTACACCCTCTCCAGTCCTTGGCTGTGTCTAGCTTTTGGATTATAGCCATCCTAGTCAGGATGTAGTGTGATTTTAATTTGCATTACCTAAAGACAAACGATATTGAACATCTTTTCATGTATTGTATATTTTTTTTCTTATTGCACTGCAAATTGAATTTAGGTTTTTGCACTAAGCTATATCCCCAGCCCTTTTGTTATTGTTTATTTTGAGATTGGGTCTTGCTAAATTGCCCAGGTTAAGCTTGTGAACTTGTGGTCCTTCCTGCCTCAGCCTCCCAGAGTGCTGGGATGACAGGTATGCTCTACCACACCTGGATCATTTGTGTATCTTCTTTAGGGAAACATTAATTCAAATCTTTTTGCCCATGTTAACTATGCTGTGTCATTTTACTACTGAGTTGAAGAGCTCTTTACATAGAAACAAGTTCCTTCTAGTTTATTAGGTCTATGAGTATTTTCTCTCACTTGTTTGTTTATATTTTCACTTTTAACAGTATCTTTAGAAGTGCAGCTGTTTTTCATTTTATCAATTCTTTCATTTCTGATTCTTGCACAGGATGCCTTTTCCCAGCTCAAGATAAAGATTTGTCTCCTGTTTTCTTCAAGAACTTTCATAGTTTTAGCTTTTACATTCAGGTCTCAGCTCATTTTTAGTTTGTCTTGAAGACCATGAGCTAAGGATCTCTGTTCATGTTTGGTATGTGGACATCCATGGATCTCAGCACCTTCTGTTAAAAATCAGGCTTGGCTAGAGCTCATCTGGCACCTTTGCTGAAATTCACTGGACCATAATTGTAAAGATGTATTTCTGGGTTCTTGGTAATGTTCCATGGAACTCTGTGCTTATATTTAACCAATCCCTAAATGTACTGGTTACTGTAGCATCAGAATGGGTTTTGAAAGCATTGTATATAAATCCTTAATTTTTTTTCAAAATTTGCATATATAATCCAGAATCATCTTGGCACTTTCAACAGAAATATGTGTTTAATTTCTTTGCACAGAGCTTCCCCCACTGTTGTTTTGTTACTGATTGTTAGTTGACTCCACTGTAGTCCAAGGACACACTACATGATTTCAATTCTTTTAAATGTGTTAATCTTCATTTTAAAGCCCAGGATATTCTCTGTGTTCATTAATGTTCCATGGGGCTGAGGAAAAATATGTTCTTCCAGCGTTGCTTGTTTGATATGCATCAGGGGATCGGGCTGGCTGATTCTGCTGTTTACATCTTCCACAGCCTTACAAACTGTTGGTCCGAAGCAGGTCTGTCAGTTGCTGAAAGGGGGGTCTGAGGTTCCCACTAAAACTCGATTTATCTGTTCTTTCTTTCAGCTCTTTAATTTTGCTTGATATTTGTGGCTCTTTTGTTCAGTGTATTGCAGGTCTCCTGATGGATTGATCATTCTATCATCTCATGTTCCTCTTTGCTGTTAGTAAGTTTTTTTCTGTGAAGTTTACTTTGTCAGATATAGTATATTGACTCCTACTTTTTTGGTGCCTATGTGATATAGCTTTTTACAACCATTTACTTTCAATATACATATATCACATTGTGCAGGAAGTGAATTTCACATACACGATATATTTGGGTCACATCTTTACACTTTGCCAGGCTGTATGACTAAAGTTGTGTATTTAGAACATTCACATTTAAGTCTACCATTTTATTTAGTTTGTTTCCTATAAGTTCTCATTCCTCCATTTTTATGTGACTTGAATATATATTAAGATTTAACTCGATTTTTCTACAGTGCTTTTAAGCGGGACTTTTTGTATAGTTATTTTAGTAGTAGCTTTTGGCATTGCAGTGTTCATGTTTGACTGACCACAGTCTACTGGAACCAATATCCCTCCACTAAGTAAAATGTAGAAACCTTTCTTCTGCTGAAGTCCTTTTATCTCCATCACTTTTGAGTATCACTGTCTTGAGTATCAGATGGTTTTATACTTTTGTTTCCATCATCAAATATGGTATTTAACATTCATGTCTATACATGGAAAGTAGAACCTTCCTGTTTCCTTTCTCCTCCTCCAAAATTTGTTTTTTAGGTAAAAAAAATTTCATTTAGCCATTATTTTAAAGCAGGTAGGTTGTCTAGTAATAGACTCTTTGAGCTTTTCTGTATCTGAGAATGTCTGGATTTCCCCTTCATTTCTGAAGGATAATTTTGCTGGGTATAGTATTTGTGACTGACAGTTTGTCCTTTCAGTATTTGAGAAAAGAACTGCTTGTTTGTCCTCCATGGATTCAGAGGGAAAACACAGACATTCAAGTTTACATTCTGCTTAATTTTATATATCTTCATGTGTATTTCATTGGGTTTATCCTGTCTGCTATTCTTTTAAATCAATGAGGTTTATTTTTCTTTTGATAAATTGAAAATTTTCAGCCACTATTTTTTCCATATTCCTTTAACTCTATTTTTTCTTTTCTTTTGAACTCTCATCACAGAATATCAGATTTCTTGTCCTGTAGTTCTTGAGGACTGTTCACTGCTCATTCATTTTTAGGTGTTGTCTCTCTGTGGTTCAGGATAGATGAATTCTATGGATCTGTCCTCCAGCTCACTCACTATCCACTGACATCACTCATCCACTCAGATTTTTATTTGTTATTATATTTTTCTGTAATTCCCTTTTAAAAAAATAAGTTTTCTTTATTAGCGGAAAGTTTTTATTTTGCCACTTGCCTTAAGAGATTTTTCATTGCTTATCAAAACATTTTTATGATCAGTTTTAAAGTCCTTTGAGCCAGGCGTGGTGGAGGCTGAGGCAGGAGGATCATTGCAAGCTCGAGACCAGCCTGGGCTACAAAGTGAGCTCAAGGCCAGCCTGAACTGCATAGCGTGACCCTGTCTCAAAAAGACAAAAAAAGAAAAGAAAAGAAAGTCCTTTGATAGGTCATCTCAATACCTGATCCGTGCCACAGTTGATCTGATCAATTGTCTTCCCTCACTCAGGTTGTGATATTTGTGGTTTTCAGTGTGATGGCTGTTTTTTGCTAGTTCAGTTCAGAGGTCTACGGCCCTTAAATCAGTTACTTTTGAAGGCATGGATCCTGTTTTGTTTATCACCCAATCCTGGCCTCCTTCTGTGTGCTACAGTTCCAATAAGCTTTTCACTTCCAGAAGCTTCCCTGTCTTACTTTGTTCTGTTTGGTTTATCTGTTGCCTCTAGACCCTGGTGGCTTGGCTGAGACAATGGAAAGGGTTTCACCAGGCTGGGAGGCTGGACATCTCATGGTGAGTGAGGAGGACTCAGGCCCATGGAGACAAAGAGGTTTCCTAGCTGGGTCACTTGTGTTTGGGAACCTCACCAGTTTTTCCCTTCAGCTCTTGTATTACCTGGTGCCTATAGTGGGAGGAGTTCCTAGCCTATCTCCCTACTGGTGTTAGAGGGCTCCCCAGAAGATGTCAGAGGAACTCCATTCAGACAGTGGAAGGGATGAGCTTACCTGGATCTTCCTGTTGCAAGGTTGGGAATGGAAAAAATGGGTTAGGGTCACCATTGGATGAGGAAAGAAAAAAACATAAAATGCCCTGTAACCACGTGATTCCTCCAGTCCTAGAATCCCAAACAAGTTCACCTTCTTTCCACCTCCCAGAGTTCTCCTTTGGTTATCTCTTGAGTTATTTCGAAGGTTTATAGGTGTGTTTCTAGGGACGAGAGATAAATTGACCTGTGCTATCTCATCTGGATTAGCAGTCCCAAATCTTTAAGTGATCTGAGCTTGCAGTATCTCCTACAACTACTGTGTCACCCATGAAGTGTTTCTCACCAGCTAAAAGTGGACAAAGAGGCATTGGTGGAAAGAGATTCACTGGGAGTGTTTAGAGCCAGAAGGATCAATGTGGTTGCGGAGCACACGCTGAGCCTCTGGCAGGTAGCACACAGGCTGGGCAGCATGAGCTGCTGGGCATCTGACCCTCTGGGGGTGGTACTCAGAGTGTGGAATCTTCAAACACTCAAACATATGCAGATCACATATTTTTGGCTTGTTTATGCACAAATATGTAGACCTTTATGTAAAAATATATATTTAACCAGTTTTTTTGTAATACAAAAAAAAGTAAAACAGCAAACAATTTCATTTGATAAGAGGAAAAAAATACTCTTACCTGTTCTGAGGGCATTTCACCAAATAATGTCTCACTGTGAAAGAAAAAAAGAATAAGGGATGGTAAGGCAATGCCACTTCAAATATATGCACTTCAGGAGTGACAGGAACTGCAGGGGCCCAGCCTTTCCTACATGCTGGTGCTGCATCAGCCAAGACTCAGGTAGGGGAACCCAACAGAGCCATCCCTGGGACACCACAGTGCCTGGACATTGTCTCAGTTCTGGACCAAGCGGGCACCAAGTCACATATCCTAGACTTCCATTACATAACCCACAGTATTTATTTTAGGCCAAAGCAGGTTGAGTTGTTTCTAACCTGAAGGGTTCAACGGTAAAAAAGTCACCCAGCTCCTGGGCTGTGCCTCAGTCATGAGGAAGCCCACTTGAAGGCAGATGGGACACCTGGTCTGCAGGTAGGAGCTTTTCCCTATAAAATGGGTTTGCATTCTTTGAGTGATGTTCTTCCAGGATTCAATTTAAGGGGTCCTTGGGAAAACAGTCTTGGAGTAAGACATACTTCCATAGTACGTCTCCTTAGGGAAACCATATGATTCTAGCAAAAATACCCAGGCATTGAATCCCAAATGTGCAATATGAGGCTTACACCTGAGTTCACTTCAAATAGGAGGACAGCCGGGTTGCAGCACATGGCTACACCAATGGCCCAGTGAGTCACCCCTCCCAGTATTTGTCCATATGTACACTGACTCCTGGATGGGTCACACGGTTTGCTTAGGATGAGGGAACATTAGCCGCATGTCACAGGCACGTGCATGAAAGGCACTGTGCTCTGGAGAACTCTTCTGCCACACAAGGAGGCCTGGCTGGCCCATTGAGACAGAGGGGCCCATACAGTAGCCATCAGGCATCCCAGCCACAGACTGAGCAGCAGGACCTAGCAGACCTCCCAGCCAACAGCAGGTGTATAGGGGACACTGGTGGAAGCCACCAGAACTGCAGAGAGGCGCCCAGCCCAGACCTGGGGAATTGGATCAAGGAGAGAGTCGTCCTAAGCCTTCGGCCTTGGGGTAATCTCCTGTGCCAGCCACCAAAGCAGGTTTCAGAGCAGAATGAGACCTTCGGCCCCGGAGAGGGCTGCATGGGTTTACCTGGTCCAACCCCCCACCAATACCTCTAATCTCCCTGCATTCCATTTGCTGCATACCTACTGTGTGCTGGATAATTTATGGATGCAGCAATAATGATAGCAACCACAGTATTCCGTGAACAATTCCGGTGTTTATCACCATCATCCTAAGCTTATTAAATGGGTCAGTGGGCTTCAGTCTAGGGTGTGCACTCCCTATCCCTCTCAGATTGGACAGTTTTAAAGGAGCCAGTTTCTGGATCTTTGTTTTCCATGTGTTCATCCCGTAGAATTCACTCTCTTGCCGTATTCCTGGCATCTGACTTTTTCTTCCCTCCTCATTTAACACTTTACCCTTTCTACTTTCTAAAACCGAGGCACACCTTTTGTTGCCATGATCTGTGTCACAGAGACCAAAGTAGGATGGAATGCTGGCAGCAAGCAAGAGGGGGTATGACATGTGGGCATCAGTGCTGGGGAAAGGAGTAACTCAGGATGAGTAGCTAAACTTCCAAAAAGGGGCGCATTCTTTGTATTTGGCTTCCAAGAGCATTGAATGATGACCTAACCCAGTTGTCAGCTGATGGAGTATTAATAATCATTTTGCTGCTAGATCATTATACAACTTTTGACATCAAATTCAGAGCTAGTTTGAAGTACTGAGTGGGATAGGAAAATTTCATCTACCCTTGCTTCTTTTTCTATTTGAAAGGAGGAATTTTAAAGCTAACACCTATTTACGAAGTAGGAGTAGGACTGAGGGTAAATTCTACCCCTAAGCAGATTCATACAAGGGTAGATAAAGCAAAAACAAAAATCCATTGCAATAAAAGGATCTCCATTAGAGTTTTACTTATTATTATTATTAATTATTTATCCACACCTATAATATACTTATGAAACACATTATTTAGGTTAATTTTATTCTAGTTTTTCAATATTGCTAATTTTGCAATATTAATAACTTAATCTTATAAGGGTATTTTAACCATTAAAGACTTATGGAATAAACATGTAAAAAAGTTATTAATAGGCCATTATTTCACAGAGTATAACAAGGTGATCAGTAAAGTGCTTTCAAAATAAAAGATGTGGTTACATAAGCCAGTTCAAGACCAGCTGTACTACATGGTGAGACCCTGCCTCAAAAAAAAAAAAAAATTTGTAAAAATAGGTGAAGAAAGTGGACCAAAGATAAAAGTTCAAGGAGAGAAAGGGACAGTATAAACTTTCTAAACAGCTAAAGCTTTTTCATGGAGTCTTTAAAATAAATGGGGGTTGATGGGGGCTGGGGATTTAGCTCAGCAGCAAAGCGCCTGCCTGGCAAGCGCAAGGTTGTGAGTTCGGTTCCCGGTACCAGAGAAAAACCAAAAAATAAATAAATAAATAAATGGGGGTTGAATTAAAATCAAGACCTTCTAATGTAAAAGAGAAAGACCTGTCCATCACATTTTAAAATAGCCCTATGTGCAATGATCAGGAAACTTGACATGTTTTGAAATGATTCACATTTAAGATGGAAAATCTTGTATGTCCACAGTGAAAGGTCAAAGGTGTGCAGTTTTTAAAATTATTTTAGGAGGCATGTGGGCAAAAATATTTGCCACCAGCAGCTTTGGACTATACCCTCACAATTACCTTCTTGACACTCTTATGGTACAAGGGGGAACCCTAAAGTCTATGAAGAGGCTGATGGGCTTGCTCAAAGTCACGTGGTTGGTTTTATGGGCTGAGCTGTGTCCCCTCTCAAGTGTGTGGGTCCTAACCCCAGCACTTTAGATGCCTGTAAGAGAAGACACCCTTAGAACTTCCTGGTACTGGCAGTCACAGAGCTCAGAGGGTTCGCACTCCATTTTACAGTCAACACTTGGAGCCTCAGAATGTGTATGTGTCCAGGGTCTCAGAAGATCTGCTTCATCAATAAAGAAATCTGAATCCACACTCTACATGCAGAACTCTTTTTAGGAAGCCACCGGAGAGGCTCTGATCCCCCAGAGGACAGGCGGGCCCTCCTCCTCCAGCCTCAGGACCCAAGAGAGACAGAGCCCTAAGGCCTCCAGCTCAGGCGCTTGGTGAAGGGATCCTGCCTCAGGCTGTCCATGCATCCCAACTCTCAGGGCTCCTCCTGCCCAGGATCTCCCTCTGTTCCCCGAAGTCCCCAGTCACTGCATTCTGTCTTGTGGCCCCACCCCTCCGTCCAGAGTGTGGACTATGGCCTTAAGTGGGATGAGCCCCAGCTCCAGCCTCCTGGGCTCTCTGTCTGGAAAGGCCACTGCCTTTTGATCTGTCTTTTTGGGAGGCTGAGGGGTGTGCTTGGGGGAAGGGGAGGGTGGTATAAGGAGCCCTGGGACACCATGTCCCCTGGCTCCAGTACAGAGTGACGTCAACCAGATCTTGCTGGAGTGGCCCTGAGGGGTACAGATGATGAGGTCAGGCACGTCTCTTCCCTGCCGGCTCCAGAGATCTCAAAGACTATGCCCTTCAAGGCTCAGATACAGGAAGCCCAAGATTGTAGGACCCCCCAGGTGGCAAGCTAGATCATAGGATTCTCCAACATGCAAAGACCTCGGAGACCAGCATGCTTGAGGAACCCAGAATTACTCAGGGCTCATCCAGGACCACCAAGATTGGTGCTTTCTGGATGACTCAGATGCAAAGGCCTGGCGTGAGGTTCTGGGCACTGGTGGGACAACGACAGAGAGCAGGACAGAGACTCTGTGTGGGAGAGGAAGTGGCCAGAGCAGATGGTACACTTAGCTCCAGCTCAGGAGGTCAAGTGGAGGCTACGCAGCCGGGGGACACAGCAGGGTTGGCCAGTGTCCCTGACTTCTGGGTTGGGCTGTTGATTGCAGGGTTCCTCCTGTGCTTATATCAGGAGCTGGGCAGCTACTCTGCCACCCTTTGTCTGCGCAAATGTTGCTGCAGGCCAGCGCACAGGCTGCAAACTTTCGTGCTCTGTGGCCCCCAAAGAGGGAGTGCCTGGCTTCCTTCCCACACATCTGCCTGGGAAACCTGGAAATCCCAGGTCTCAGGAGGGAGCCCTGGAAAGACCCGACCCTCCTCCCACAGAGCACAGTTCCCAGATGTCCCATATGTTTCTAGTTTAATCAACTGGTGGGAGGCACTGATTGTGAGAATAGGCTGCAACCTGAGTCATGAGAATGGACTTGATGTTCCCAGAGCCAGGGCTACCAGCAGACACCCACAAAGGCAGCAGCCTCCTGGGGTGCACCCTGGTCTCAAGGGATGCATGACCCTGTGTCACTCTGACACATCCAGGGACCTGCTTGGACACGTGGTGCCTGCTGCTTGGAAACCAGCTGGTTGCCAGGGAAACAGGCCAGTGCCCCAGTCCTCAGGCCACAAGGGTCACAGTGATGGCTCAGCCACCTGTGGTGTTAGGAGGGGCCCTTTCCTCCTCCCCAAGGTGGGGTTGCCCTTGTTTCTAGTTGGCAGTGGGGACAGTGCTCTGTAGTTGGAGTCTAAAGATGATCATCTGAGTCCAGGTTGCCTGCAGGACTTGCTGTAACCAACAGGATGTGAGACAGTTTGGCCCTGTGTCAATGTCTAGTCCATGCCTGTCCATATTACCTGGTCACCAGCTGAGGGCTCTGGCTGCCTGCTGGTGGGACCACGGGGACACCAAAATATCACCAACCCTGCTGTATCACTGATCTCAGAGGTGACCCGAGAATGGAGCTGCTGCCGTCCTGGATCTCTACCCACTGCCTGAAGACCATCTCCTGTAGCCCAGTCTAGGGTGCAGGAATGACGTTTCTGGTCACTGCACAGGGTGACCTGTGTGCAGCAGTAGCCACCTGGGATGTCTGGGACATGTGATATTTGGGCAATGTCCTCTGGGTAGAGCCCATCGTGAGCATGAAAAGCAACCTGGCTCTGTCTGTGTCCAGAAAAAAAGATCTTTGACCAATTTTTTAAAAAGCCATATTTATCAGATCCCAATTTTATGGGGAGAAGGGCAGGAAGAGGCCTATAATCCAGGCATCCAAGTAGGCTCAGAGTTCCTTCCTGCAAGCCCACCTGTCTGGCCCCTGCAGGAACCCCTGGCTTGAGCCAGGCTGCCCTCCTGGGCACCTCCTTCCAGTGCCCGCGGTGTGACAGGGACAATGGCTTTTATCAAGGACCTGTGGGGGGAGGCAGGAGGCTTGGATCTGGACAGGGTGGGCTTGAGATCCTGAGCAGTAATGGGGCAACTCTGGGTGCCTCTAACTCCCCAGCCAGGAAAAGGGGACTTAATATGAGTGTGTGAGGGCAAACACAGATCCACAGAGGGACTGTTCCACCTACACCAAGAGCCCCTCTGCTGTGCCCGGCCTGAGGCTCCTGGGGCCTTATTTCCCCAGCTCAGTGGACACAGCCTCGGCTGGGAACCATTGCTCACCGGCAGTGAGTTCCAGGGACTCCAGGGGCAATCTGGAGCTGGCATAATTATGGCACTGATTGGGGATGATGCCTGATGATTGTTGGGCAGGGTGCTGGGCACAGGCAATGGAGAATTTTGACAGGTGAAGATTCATCCCGCTTGACTTTGAATGACTCTTCAACATTCCCAGGGAGGAACAAATCTACTCAGGAGAGCCGGGGACCTGAGTCCACTTGACATAATGTATGTCTCTGCCCATTAAACATGCAATGTGTGTTTTCAGACTGTGAGAGCCACGTGAGAGTATATCCTTTATTCGTAAGCTTGTCAGGAGTTGGGAGTTTCCAAGGAGTGTCCCCCCTGTGGGTTTTAAGCTGTATTTATATCCATCCACACTTGTCCTGTCATACGCCTATTACGTTATCTTATATAGCATTTATTTCAAAAGTCAAATAGTGAAGACTGTCTTCTCTGAAACTCAAACTTGTTCAAAGAAGAGGTGCAGCACTAAAATGTATTTTACTGCCTTACAAATTACTTTCCTCTTATTTCTCCTTTAATTGTAGAACATTGGGTGGGGTGGGGGACAGGCAGCATAGCTTCGCTATGGCTTTCAGTCTGAACCGTAATGGGATCATCTGGACACATGTTGTGAAGGGTGCTGGGTAGGTAGAGGTCAGAAGAGCTGGCCGGTGGCCTCCCTGCAGCAGTGTCTGATGTGAGCAGAGGGTGGCAGTTCTGGAAATCAGGGGGGCTGCTGCTCTACACCGGAGCCTCTCATAGAGCCTGTCCTTAGAGTGTGGGTGGTGGTACCAGCCTGAGCCTGTTGTTGAGGATCCCTCCAGACAAAGCCAGGTGCTGGGGGACTGCTGGAGCCAGGGAGAGTGGAGCAGGAACCAGGGAGAATGGCATGAGCCGAGGGTCAGTAACTGCCACCCCAGAAGGCACAGGTCAATTCCTTGGCCCAGGTGCTGAGGCTGTCCTGACAGCAATGCCGGGCCTTGCAGTGGGGCTGCGGACCAAGCCTCACTTCTGCCATGGCCTGCTCCTCTAAGACCTCAGCCCTGCCGTCTGTCAACAAAGGCCACGTGGCTGTCATGAAGGAGGACACAGAGGGGCCGAGCCAGGTACCTGGCCCACAGCAGATGGGCAGACCATTCTGGTGACAGCTGAGAGGGGCTCAAGACCTGGGCACAAGTGCATGCAAGGCCACCTGTCGTCCACCTCATGGGGAGCAGCTGGGTCCCCGTGTGTCCCAGTCTGTCCCGCTGGACCAGCTTTGATTCCCAGCTTCCTGCCCTAGGAGCTGGCAGCACACATCACACTCTAGCACAGCCAGCTGGGAAATGACTCTGAGGCTTCCAAGGGCAACAGCTGGGAGCAGAGCAGCTGGCACAAACCCCTGTGTGCACCATTTGCTGAGCACCTGTCCTGCTTTTGATTCCCAGAGGAATGGGTCACACACATGTCCCTGCTTGCAGGGTCCACTCAGGAGAGGCTAATGCCCACACCCAAGTGGGGTTCAGGCCATAAGCTCAGACAGACAGTTGGAGAGGACGAGAGAGGAGCTCAGGTGTCACTGAGTGGGTGGTAGGCGCCAGGAAGGCAGCTCTGGGAAAGCACAGGGATACACACTGCTGGGCAGATCCTTAGGCTGCTGGGTATGGAAACCCAGGCTTCAGGAGAGGCTCAAGATAGAACAGGCAGCATTCATGGAAAGATGTCCCCAAAGATGGAACTCCTGAGAAGGAAATCTGAAGAGGCAGAAGACAGAGTCCAGGGAGTGAAAGGCCCCACAGGAAAGGAGGCTGGAGGGGGACTTTCCAAGTCCCACTTTCCTGCCAAGTGGACACTCGCAAGAATGTGCTGTCTAGTTGAGGGCAGTTCAGGAACTTGCTCTAAAACAGTTTTCTAGGCTCATCCCTTTGGGGAAGGAGGGAGGGATTGGAGGAAAAGAGGACTGAAACTAGGTTACTTTACTTTAGCATTGCCTGAGCAGAACACACTTCTCACCCACTTTGTTTCCAAGTCCTGGGTAAATCGTGCCTGACACAGCACGACCTTCCCACCATGGGTGCACTGCAGGCCCTCTGCTGCCCTGTTGCTGCCCGTCCCAGGGGGGCATGACCTTGTAGTTGTCTTACCTCTGGACTTCCTCTTGTGCAACACAGACTGGCAGACGATGACGAGGGTGAACAGCAGGACGCTGAGGATGCCCACGCAGCACACGAGGACGGCGTACATGTACAGATCTGGAAAGTGAGGACATGCAGGTAACCGTCACCAGAAAGGCACAAAATCAGTCCTGCGTGGGATTCCAAAAGTCCCCAGGCTGCAGCCATCAAGGGTGCGGTGGAAGCACAGACACAGATGGATGAAACAGAACATAGTGAGCCCAGAAACAGAGCCACCCCAGTCTACTAGGTCAGTTCTGACAACTCAGATGGCAGATCGGCGGCAGAGGTTCACCCTTTCCATCACTGGTGCTGAAGAACTGGACTTCTGTTGCCAAAAAAATCAAATTAACCTCTCATGCTATATATAAATTAACTCAAAATGACCCATGATGCTAATTTAAAATATGAACTAGCAAACTGTGAGGAAAAACACAGGAGAAAAATCTTGGGGATCTAGGAGTTCCTCGACTTCACACTAGCAATGTCCTCCATATGAAATTTGAGCACTGGCTGTGGCTCCATGACAGAGCAGTTTCCTAGCAAGTAGCAGGCCAAGTTCAATCCCCAGCATCACAATGAAAGTAAAATAAATAACTCGAAAAATTTGGTTTCATCAAAATTGAAAACTTTTACTCTGTGAACAACCATCAGAAGAGGGTAAGAAGTTCAGCTATAGACTGGGAGAAAATACTGGCAAGCCATACATCCAACAGAGAACTAAAAAACTCTCAAAACCCAACAGTAGAATGTAAACAAACAATTCTGTTATTTAGAAAGTCAGCACAACACACAGAGACATTTCACCAAAGAGAATATACAGGTGTTAAGCAATTGTGTGAGAGAAGGTTTAACTTCTTTAGAGTTAAAGAAAAGTAAAATTAAGCCAGGATGGAATACCCCCACACCATCCAGAATAGCTAAAATAAAAAGCAGTGCTCACACCAGATGCCAGCAGGGATGTAGGCAAGCCGGGTGGCCCACCCATGGCTGGTGGGCCTATAAAATGGTGCAGCCCCTTTGGGAAACTTTTGGCCCATGAAAATGCCAGAGACTTTTGCTGTTGGCTACTTGGTGTCTCCAGCTTCTCTTCCTATAACAAATGACTCTAGGCTGAGCATCGATAACCTGAACCTTAATATGGCTCTCACTGTAAGCTCTTAAGATGAGATCTGTGGGAGTCCAAGTGCCGAGTCAGCAAGCACACACCTTGCAAGGCCCTTGGGACCAGGAGGAACAGTCAGCTAAGTGCTGAAAATGAGGAAGCCAGGTACTGGGGGCAGCCGGCCGTGGGGCTGGCCAGTGGCTGGGTTCCAGGGGGAGCCTGTAAGCACAGGCAGGCTGAGGGTCCATGAGAGGAGTGGGGTGGGGAAAGGAGCCAGAAAGTCAGGTTCTCTCCATCTCTCCCTTATCTGGCTCCTAAGGGAGCAGGTACAACCTCTAGCCCTGGAGTCCAAGGGGTCTGCTCATCTCTCCAAGCTGCCCAGCATTTCCACCGGAGCTAGCAGGAGTAGGCTTCTTTTCCTGGCCACTCAGAGGTCTGGGCTAAAAATAAGATGCTGATTTCCCTCTGAATCCATGGCTTCAATCAAGGGTAAGAAAGAATAATATTCTTTTAAAAAACTGCATCTGTGCTGCATGTGGAGAGATCTTCTCCTTGTCATTATCCCCTACACAGTGCAGTGTAGGAACTAGCGGCATGGCATTCATATGGCAGTAGGTATTATAACTTATGAGGTGACAAGTACATGGGAGGTATGCATAGGTTGTATGCAACCAGAATGCCATTTTGTATATCAAAAAGAAGACTTGAGCATCTGGGGATTTTGGTATAGGGCAGGGGCGTGAGTCTTGCAGACTCTGGACCACTGCAGGCGCAGTGCACCTGTACTCACTCAGGAGGGAGGCCAGGAGAGCAGCCAAAGGAAGTGCCTCCCATAAAGGACCCTGGGGCGAGGCACAGTGCTAGGAGGAACCACAGAGCATTCTAGAAACCCAGAACAAAGCCTCAAGTGCAGCATTTCCCACACGGAAGCTGCTGGGAAAGCCCTGCAAGAAAGCCAGACCAGAGGGACAGGGACAGAAGCAAGGCTGGAAAAGCTGGAAGTCACTGAACATGAGGTACTCAGGATGCAAACAGAAAACTGTTCTCATACTATAATCAGAAGCATCTTTCTGTGGATGCTACTGTGTTTCCAGGCAAGCGCCACAGACAGGAACACGGAGGAGCGGTCAGCCGGGACAGCGTCCCGGGCCTACTTTTCAACAGCATGAACCACATCAGCTAGGATCATGGGTTCCCAGCAAGACCCTAACTGAAGGACATAGCAGGTTCACATCCTTCATGGGTCACCAGAACACAAGATGACTGAACCACGGCAATCTGGTGACCAGTCTTGGACCTATACGCTGTTGGGAAAATGAACACAATTCCCGACCATTTCTGGTTTGAAAAACATGGTAAATAACGGCCACATTTCCAGGTCAGACAATACCGGGACATTGGGGCATCACATCTGCCCCAGAGATGCTGAGGGATGCAAGAGATGTGGATCCCTGAACCAAAAGCAGGCGATTTGGCTTCCATTTCCTTCTGGAAATGGAGAGAAACCGTCCTGTTGAAGTTTCCCTGCCAGGGAGCAGAGTGGCTTGACCTCCAACCTTGCTTTCATCTTTCCTTAGTTTCACGTTTCAGGAAGCAAGGAGAGCCAAGGCTGCAGTGAAACAGCAGCTGGTAATTCTCCTGCAGGGTCCTGGCAGCTGTGCACATCTGGGGTGACCCTACCCTGGTGGGAGGCAAAGGCTTGGAGGCTCAAGTATAGCTGCAGGTCAAAGCCTCCATGCCGTGGTGCAGAAGGAGCCTGATTTCCTTGGGCAGCTGCAGCTACAGAACCCAAAAACATCTGGTTAGTCCAGAAGGCTCAGCCTTTGCACCAAGCACATGAGCACTCGGGGCTGTGGCCACCAGCCAGTGGGCTCCGCCCACCCGTGAGGCTCTCCGCACGCACAGGAAACTGTGCTGACCCTGCCTGCTCTCTGCTTTGTTCTTGAAACTACAGCAGCCTTTAAAGGTGCCACTTTACTGGAGGGAAAAAACTCAGAAAGAACATCTCACCTTCCAGGATTGGTGGCAACCTGTCCCCTAAACTTTGGGTTTTTCCTTGTTTCCAGCATTCTTTTTGGGGCATGAAATCAACCACTTGCAGAGCCTGTGCAAACCTCTGACATTATCTCCCTTCCTGGTGTATTGTGCAAACAAAAACTGGACCTCAAGCCATGGTCACAGAGTCAAGACACCTTTGGCCAGAATGGCTAGGCTGCCCTGAGCCTCAGCCTGCCCTCCTCCCTCCATTCTCTGGCTGGAAAGGGGCTTGACATTGCCCTAGCTGCCAACCTGTCTTTTCACCATGCCTGAAAGCAATCTCTCTAAATGTTGGCTCAAAAGATTCCAAATTCAGCCCTGGCCAAATAACACTGTCCAAAAGCTGAAGCTAAGCCTTCAGGCCCAAACTGAACAAAACCTCTGCGTATCACCAAATCTGAAATTAGCTTGTAAAATACCACATAGGGCCAGGGGTGTAGGGAGTGCTTGCCTAGCATGCTGAGGCCTTGAATTCAAACCCCAGTGGCACAAAATTAAAATAAAGCAAAATACCTCATACGCCTGCACACTCACAGTATTCTAAAAATGATGCTATCATCCATGGATGCATTTGCCATTTTATTTTTTGCCATTGGACTTCCCAAGGCACCCTTGCCATTTTTAGACTCAACTGCATAAAATGCCCAGGCCTCCCTGAAGCAGATGGGCAGGCCAGCTGGGGTGGCTGTGTACACTGCAGGGAGATCAGCAGGGTGACGCTGTCAGCCTGACTGCTTCTGCCCTGGCACCTGTTGCCTGGTAACCTGGTGGGGCATTCAGCTGGGGCTGCTTTGGACCTCGGTGGCCTCAGCATTCCTCAGCACTGTCTAGGAGACCTGCTGACCCCTCCCTGCCCCCAGTGAATCAAGAAAATTGGGATCAGTGTTCTACATTTCCAGGACAAATTCAGGCACCTCGGAGATGCAGCTCTGGCAATAACATCATGTGCTTCTACTATTTTTTAATGCAGCTCATAAAACTATCCTGCTCAGGGCGTAATACCTGAGCGAAAGCCTTGAGGGATTTTAACTTGCTCCAGCAAGGGGCCGGACAATCGATGCTTGTTTTGTTCAGCAGGCACACAGCCAGGCAGAGCTAAGCCCCAGGAGGATGGCCATCCATCCGCAACCCACATCAAAGCCTCCTTATCCGGGAACAAAAGGTAGAAGGCCTGAGAGCTGCACTGGGCACTTCCATCACCACACCTGACCTCGACAAAATCATGGTGGGTTAAAAAAGCTAAATACAGATGATTCTACTGCTGCTACTGCTGGAATCGGAGGAAAGGCCAGCTGGGAAACAACTGCTCCAGGCACGCAAGAGGCAGCAAGGATACCAGCTGCCAGGAACCTGGCTCTGGTCTCGCCATGGAGAGGACATGCATGCAATGGGACAGCATCTACCAAGAGGAGATGCAGAACACTGCTGATGGGGCATAGCGCCCAGAGGTTCTGGTGATGCTGGGAGGTGTGTGGGGACCAGGCACTGCAATCCTTCCTAGTACGTAAAGACTGATTTTGGGTTCCGCTATGTTTGTAAATATAGTCCTCAGACCACTTGCATCAAACCACCTCCGACCCTGAGGCAGTACAAATTCTTCCGTCCCTTCCTGATATGATAATCAGAACCTCAGGGATGGAGCCCTGAGTATCCCCAGGAATGCTTAGCATCTGATGAGTCACAGCCCTCCTCACACAAGTCAGATGCTCTATGACCCACTTAGGGACTCGCCCCACTACGGCTTCAGGGCACAGGGCAGCTAGGTCCCCTCAATTTGACTAAATGGAAAAAGAAGAGTAAGCCTTGCTTCTTCTACTGTGTTATTCTGAGGAATAAGGGCACTTTCATCCCTACCCATGGGTAAGCAGTCCCCAAATGACAGCCTGGGGATTATTTTGCTAAGAGAAAGTCATCAGATAAAGAAACAGCTGCTAGGAAGGGTGCAGAAGAAAAGTCAGGGAATACAAAGGGTCATTGTTTCTGCCCGAGCACAGTGTCAGAAAAAAAAAAAAAAACCACTCACATCTCTAAACCAAACACTAAAGCCTAACAAGCCGCTTGACTCCTCTGCTTTGCAAACTTGTTCACAAGTGATGTTTTCCTACAGGGATGCACCTTGAGACCATAACGTGAAGTGAAATAAATCAGAAAAATAAGCTCAAATAGCACACAGTTTCTCTTAGATGAGAAATACAAAGCATAAATAAGTTAAGGAGCACATTAAGAAAACAGATAATAGGAAACAGAGAGATAAATCTTTTGCAAATAGGAAGGGGACCAAGAAATAGAGTGAGGGGAGAGGGAGAGGTGGGACAGGGCACGTAGAAAGAATGAATATGTGTTATGTACAACTCCCCTCAATAAACGTAATCATTCCGTACTGCAAACATGGACTAATAAAAGTAACAATTAAAAACTAAGTTATGTTTTCCTAAATGGTACCCTGGTGCACTGCTGTGTGAGTGGTTTTGAATCCAAAGGCCTCTACCCATCCCCCCAAATGTATTGCCCTTTTGCAATCCTATCTGGCTGGGCCATTCCTCATCAATAAATCCCATACCTTCACAAAGTTTCAGGCCCCCTTTAACACTAACTAGCCTTTCCTGGATCAGAGGCCCTGCCTGACTCACACGTACATTCTTTCACTGTTCAGATCATAGTCCTCAGTGACATGGATGGGGATGACAATTTCTCTAACCTTTCCTTTCCTCCAGGCCGTGCTCGGTACCCTCAGCACTCTTGACATTTGGAGCCAGAGTTCTTCGATGCGGGACTATGAGATGCACTGCAAGATGTCCTTGCCTCTACCCTCTAGGTGCCAGCAGCATCCCCACAGTGGTGCTAACTGAAAACATCTCCAGACCTTGACAACTGTCCCAGGGAGGGGCACAGTCTCCCCCACTGAGAATTCTGCTCCAAGCCTCAAACCTGAATATGCATCAGAATGACCAGGGGGTCTCAAACCCAGGGAGTAAAACCCAAATTACCCAGTGACACCCCAAACTTCTGAGCTTGAGCCGAGGCAGAGGCTGAAGAGGGCTTTGGTAACAAGTGGCCAGGTGACACTAATGCTGCTGGCAGGGACCTCACCGGGAGCCACTGCTAACACCTTGAACTTCAGCCTGGCTGCAGGCTGCAGTCATCTGAGGCCCTTTCAGTAAGTTCCAGCCAAACGAGAATCTCTCTAGATGGGTCCAAGCATCTGTGTTGAGAGCTGCCTGGGTGACTCAAACGTGGGTGGGAAAACAACTTGCTTAAAAATTTTCATACTTTCTTTTTTTTTCAAAAGGAAGAAGTAAAACTGTCTTTATTCATAGGCAAGTTGATCTATATAGAAAATCCTAAGGAATCTAATTCTAAGAAATCTATTTTTTAAAAAAGCTTCTAGGTATATTACACAAGGTCATAGGATACAAGGTCAGAATACAAAAATCAATCATATTTCTATTGTTCTAGTGGCAACAAGCAATTAAAATTTTAAAACATCATTTGTGATAACAGAAGAAATATGAACTACCTGGGGATAGCTTTATAAATATGCACAAGACCTATATACTGGAAGGAAAGACATATACACTAAGAAGTTCAAAGCATTACTGAGAGAAATTTTTAAAGATTTACATAAATGCAGATATGTAACAAGTTTATGTATTGGAAGATTCAAAACTGTTACAATATCAATTCTTACATGTTGATCTATTTTTTAAAATTTATTTCAGCACAATTTGTAATAGCTAAATCTTGGAGGCAGCCCAAATGCCTTTCACATGTTCTAGAACCTCAAAGTCCTTAAGCAACAAAATGAAGTCACAGTGATACAATTTTCACTTTTTTACATATTACTGACAGTCTCTCTAATATCACTGGAGTAAGAATTCTGGAGCAAAACAGAACCAGAAAACAAGCTAATCAATCCAGATTGGCACTGTGTCCGCACTGTTTCCGAACCTGTAGCTGAGACCCCAGCAATTCCCATCTGACTCCTAAATTTCAACCAAAAAAACCCCACACTTTGATGTTATGGCAAAACCAAGAAGTTAGGGTTCTTTCTTCCTAGTGTGTTCTTTTCCTGCTGTGTGAAACTGAGGTTGCATCTTGGAACACACAGGCCAAACTTACCTTCAAAAAAGGCCCAGATCTCTTTTTTTTTCTCAAATGATGAATCTTCTGAAGCTTTGAGGGAGATCACTGTAAGACACAAAAGCAACAGAGCAGCTTGAAGTGGAGCACACGATCATAGCCCACCATGACACTTACATGTATAAAGTAATTTTCACACTACCAAGACCAACAGAATGGGTGATCAACCAATCTCAGTTAGCGGATAAATCACACAACACTTTTAAGCTCGAGGTGCACAAAGGCCCCCTGGGTTGGGCTGTTAAATTGCCACTTGCTTGTTATGGGGCCCTGGGCAGGCCACTGAACTTCCTTGGGCCTCTGTTTCCCCATTTGGGGAAATGATGACAAGGGCCTGTGTTGAATGGGTGAGAGGATAAGATGGGTTAATGTGTCTGCAGTGCGTAGAACAGGGCCCAGGGCCGGTGAGCCATCTCTACCCACAAGGACACCAGCTCCCTAAAACAGGACTTTTTGTCCCTTCCATTTGAGACTCTACTTCTTATCTAAGGCCCAGATGGTCCTTAGTTGCTGGCCCCTCCTTGGCCCCTGAGAGTGATTCTCCGATGTCCAGATGGTCAACACAAAGGCTCTCATCCTTGCAGCTGACTCTGTACTGCAGGAAGAAGCATGATCATCCCAGCCAAGACATCTGACTGCAAGTCACTTTCATTCATTTTTCAAGGGCAGAAACTGTAGGTCCTCAACTTGATCCAATCCTAGGGCACCTGGCCTTATGTGGGAGAGAAAGTAGCAAGTTCTCCCTAATACAGTTATGGAGACACATGTTGAAAAAGCTCACAAACTGAAATACTATATTAAAGGGGTTTTAAGCAAATAATGAACTAGTGTTTCTTTTTCCCTGGTGCACTTATTTTATGGGAAATGTGGCAACTCTGTGGTATCAGAAGGTTAACCACACCAGTCATAATCTTATCTGCTCCTACAAGAAAGAAAAATCTTTATGCGAACCCTGCTAGAGCTTCAGAAATGTTCCCAAGGTCCTGCTGTAACTATCTTGTTTCAGCTGCTAATCCTGCACTGTCTCCCAAGTGCATTTGATATATTGTGAAGGACGTGTCCAGGTCCTCAGGATGCCAGGAGACGGGGCTGTGGGATACACGCTGGCCCAAAGCAAGGGCTCCATGGTGCACAGTCTGTCCCCACTCTGCTAAGTTTATTAACTTACCTCCCCACATTGCACAGCCACATATGGCTGATATAAATTGACTTTGGTCAGCCTTTCCTGTGGAGCTGGAAGAGAATAAAAGGCCTCAGGAATACATCATGCTAGGGGCTGGGATAGTAGCTCTAGGGTAGAGCCATGCTTAGTATGCAGGAGGCCCTGAGTTCCATCCCTAGCACAGCAAAAAAGAATCAACACCCCCCAATCCAAACCATAGATCATACACATTGGCCAAAGACTTTCTGAAATAAAATTCTCATGGAAAAGCACATCTGTTTCCCATGGAATCAGCGGTAGAAGGCTGGAGCTCTCTAACACAAATGATAAACCTGTGCACCTGTGGATGGTGTTGAGCTCTCTTGTGGCCCAGCTGGACACAAAAGTGATGGGACAAAGACAACAAGCAGCCCTGGGGCCCATGACGCTGGACCTTCCCAAGCTCCCACTTGGGGGGCTGCCAGTCCCTACCCTGGTAGGCTATCCTGTAGGGTTGGGCACAGGCTGGGGTTTCCATGGTGGGGAGCAGGCATGGTCCCCCCACCCCACCCTAGCAGGTCTGCTGGAACACTGTCTCCTCTCCTCGCCATCTCATTCCCCAGATGGGCAGAGCAGCATGACAAACACCCTCTTCCAGGCAGCCTGTGTCTTACCTCATGCTCTGACACTGGTCTCCCAGCAAAGGCTACATGGAGCAGACCCTGTGCACCCCCTTGCAGAGGCCTCATTACCCCAGCTGCAGGAAGTAACCTATCTCCTAGGAACCCCCCCCCACTGTGACCCCTAATGTGCTCCCTCTTTTTCCATCCCTGCTGCAACCAGGGGCCCCTCAGTAGAGATACTGTGGGTCCTGACCTGCTCTTCCATGGAGCACAAGGCCTTCAGCCCCTCTGCAGGCCCAGGAGTGGGAAGAGGGCAAGTAGTAGTACCACTGGTTAGCGAAGCAGAGGAAGCTAAACTGCCTGTCTCAATCCTGCTTTAGCAGAGATAATGTCCTGCACTATTTTGGTTTCTGTTAGTGTCCTGTGTCCTTTGATAGATTGAGGAGGAAGAGTACTGGCGAGCTGAGTCATCTCCCATTGACTGCTTTTCCTTTCCCACGGCATCTGGCACCCACGAGCAGGGTCATCTCTTTGCAGGGACAGGAAGTGGCCCCGGTGATGGGCTCTCCCCCTGGGGGACAGAGAGGCTGAAACATAAGGAAGGGCAAGTTGTGATATCCAGGGAGTCACTACCCTCTGCAAAGAGCTGCCTGAAGGTTGCCACAGGGTCACATGGTCAGGAAGCACTCGGCCCAGAGCTCCTTAGACAAACCAAGGGTATTGGCCCTGTGATGGAAGTGCAAAGAAGGAATCTCAGTCAAGTTCCCTTCGACAGTGTCTGCCGGAAAACTGTCACCCAGAGATGTGCACAAGCCAGAAGCTCAGGATTCTGCCCTGGAAGGAAAGCCTTAGAAGCTTCCCTGGGGACAGTGAGTCTCAGGGCTTCCGGGCTGTGAGCTCACATTGAGACCTGGGACCATACCCTCTGGGCACCAGGGGGCCTCTGGTGTCACTACCCATTATCTGGACTGGCTTTGGTCATACACAGAACAACCAAAATGATCTGTTTCTCCTGAAATTGTCTCTCCCTCTGTTCATCAGCGGGCCCAATCCCTTTAACAAAGAATTCTACAATTAGTACTTAAAATGTACCAATGGGTTTCACCCAATGCAAGGTGCACATTCTGACACAGAAATGGCTAGAAGTCAAGAGGACAGAGGAGCATGAAAGCTCCCAAGGAGCAGCCCAGGGAGCAGCAAAGGCTGACCCTGAGCTGGGGCTGTGGCCCTGGCCTTCCTATTTCCACCACTGGTCAAGCTGAGAGAAGTGCTGCAGATCTGGCCTTTAAGGAGTCACCTTCACTTGGTACCCCAAAGCTAGGGTCTGAATGTGCAGCATAGAGTCTGGGGGACCTGCCTGATGTGGGGGACACCTCCCAGGAGTTTGTGAACTTCAGGCCCCAAGACTCCACGTGGCCACACCCTGCCTTCAGCAAGGCAGGGATGAATCCAGAGCACACAGAAGAGGAGGTCCATGTAAAGGGGACAGAAGCCCATTCCATTTCCTGTCCAGACCAGGCAGGGCCTCCAGCCCCACCCTTCAGTATTACTGCTTCAATTCAACCCAGTGAAAATGGGAGGAGCCACAAAATAGCCAGGGCCAGCCCATCACAGAAGTGCTCTCCACTTGCGACTGTGAAAGGGCCCTCTGAGGGCAAGTCTCAGTTCAGAAATATGCGGTGTGCAGAACACAGGTGTCAGGACAAAGCCACCATGGAAAGCACAAGACCTCTCTAGGGGCAGGTGTCTCACCCCAGGGAATGACTCTCAGACCCAGAACGGAGGCCCTTGAGTTCCATTCGTCCTCGTGCCATGATCCTCTAGTGTCTCACTTTCCACACACCGCTATCCATAGAGCATGCCCTTTTAAATTTATCTTGATTGTCATCCAGTTTCTTCACTTTCTAGAGTCCTTCTCAGCCCATAGCTCAGGTCAGTTACTTTGAATCAATGGATGAAGTTGGATGTGGTGGCACATACCTGTGGACCCAGCAATTTGGGAGGCTAAGGCATGAGAATGGCTCAAGCCCAGAAGTTCAGGGCCAACCTGGGCAATAGAGAGAGGCCTCCCTTCAAAAAACAAAAACATTAATGAATGATATGGTTGTGATATTGTATCAGTGAGTGAAGGCCACCCAAAAAGAATATAGCCCCAGGGCCTTGACTTCCTTACAACCTGGAAGATTGGGAAGAAGCCAGGGCAGGGTCCCCCTACCCAACCTCCTTCCTTCATCTGGACCCTCGGAACCCCCAAGGACAGCAGCACCTGGGCCAATGGCTTCGCAGAACTCTGGGCTCAGAGTTATACACTTTGTGTCTATGATTACGCATTTTATGGCCTCTGACCTTTTGGTTTCTTACAAGACAGGAGCAGGAATCCTTCAGCACAAAGTGACTCTTAGGTTCTCTTAAGTTAAAAGAGAAGGCTAGAAGCACACGTCTTGGTCCTAGACACCCCAGGGCTTGTGGATTTGCACCCAGGAGAAAACAGACAGACCCTGCCCCAATTTCCTCAGGCAGCATCTTACATAGATCAACTGGAAAGAAGGCAATCAGAACAGAAGGTTGATACAAACTAAGTAAACGCAGGAAAAGAAGCTTGCGTAAAATCTCAGCTTGAATGTTAACACACTCAGCTCTTTGTCCCTCCTTATTCAAGGACAGGATGGTCCCCAAGGAAAACACTGTCAAGACACAGTTGTGTCCCTGCTATTTATAACTGGCTCTCTGTTCTTGGGGGAGGCGGCAGGAACCCAGAGAGACACAGCCCTTCTGTCCTGCCTCCTGCTTCTTTTCCCCCACCCTCCAAAAGCAGGTCAAAGGCAGGCTGTCCAGGGTACAGTCAGCCAAGTGTCAGCAGGGCCTGTGAGTGCCCAGCATGGTGCAACAGAAGAGGCCAACAGGCCTCCAGATCTGTCCAACCCTGCTGCCCCTCTCCCTGCACTCTGTCCTAGACAGATTCTGGAAAACAGAGCAAGCACACAAGGAAAAGGCGAGATGTGAAACTGAGTTCCTGCAATGGACACAGTGGTTAGAAAAGAAGCTCTCGCTCCCAAAGAAGGCCAGAGGCCACTGAGGAGTGCAAAGTCACCCCGGTGTTCCTACATGTGTCAGGAAACTGAGAGCTGGGGGCTGTGACTGACCCCACATACTGCACAGCGTTTCCCCCTCCTTGTGCCCATTTCAGGTGGGCATTCACCAGAGTTGGCACCACTCATTTACTCCTTCTTCCAAACCATCCAAGCCTGAGTCCAGGGCAGGGGGCATTGAAAAGGAGTCAGATG